AGCAGCAGCAGCAGCAGCAGCAGCAGCAGCAGCAGCAGCAGCAGCAGCAGCAGCAGCAGCGGCAGCAGCAGCAGCAGCAGCAGCAGCAGCAGCGGGGGAGGGGGGAGGCGGGGGGGCGGCGCAGCAGCAGCTTCGAGAGCAGCAGCAGGGCGGCGGCGGAAGCTGCTGCTGCTGCTGCTGCTGCAGCAGCAGCAGCAGCAGAGGAGAAGCGGATTCTCGAAGTTGCTGCTGGGGGCCGCGGGCTGGGCTTTGAGTGGAGGGCGGACGGGTCTGCTGCTGCTGCGGGGGCAGCAGCAGCAGCAGCAACTGCAGCAGCAGCAGAACGCGCAGCAGCAGCAGCAGCAGCAGCAGCAGCAGACGCAGCCACCTGCTACGGCCACAAGTGCGAGCTGCCGCCTGCTGTTGCTGCCAGCGTCCGCATTGGAGTGCAGGGAATGTTTGCTGCTGAGTTGACTGCAGCACAAGAAGCAGCAGCAGCAGCAGCAGCAGCAGGAGACGGCGCCTCCGGTGCTGCTGCTGCTGCTGCTGCTGTCGACGCTGCTCTCGAGCACCTCGTCGAGGCGCCCCCCGCTCCGCCCTGGGCGGAAGCAGCAGCAGCAGCAGAGCAGCAGCAGCAGCAGCAGCAGCAGCAGCAGCAGCAGCACGGCCGCTGGGGGCCCCTCTTCGCGCTGCGCCGCAAGAAGCCTTTTGCTGCTGCTGTTGAGGGCTCCGCAGTCTCTCTTTGCTGGGAGCCTCCGCAGCTTTCTGCTGCTGCTGCTGCTGCTGCTGCTGCTGCTGCTGCTGCTGCTGCTGCTGCTGACGGCTCGCCGCTGTCCGCAGCGCCGACCGCAGCGCCGCCGCCCGCCGCAGCCGCTGCTGCTGCTGCTGCTGCTGCTGCTGCTGCTGCTGCTGCAGCGGGGCCCCGGCCTTTGCTGCAGCTGGCAGCAGCAAAACGAGAAGCAACTTTTCCCTCAGTTTTATTTTTAGTTTGCGATGGCCATGACACTCACGAAGCTGCTGCTTTCGTCTCCAAGGCGCTGCCGCTGCTGGCCTTCAAGCGGCTGCCGCAGCAGCTGCTGCTGCTGCAGCAGCAGCAAATCCACACAGCAGCAAGGACTCTCTTCGCAGACTTGGACGCCCTCATGAGGTCTGCTGCTGCTGCTCCTGCTGCTGCTGCTGCTGCTGCTGCTCCTGCTGCTGCTGCTGCTCTTTCTACTGCTCGTGCTGCTGCCCTTGCTGCTGCTGCTCTTGCTGCTGCTGCTGCTGCTGCTCTTGCTGCTGCTGCTGAATCTGCCTGCGCTTGTAGCGTTGCATTCCGCATTCTTTTTGCTGCTGCTGCTGCTGCTGCTGCTGCAGGCGACGTGCTGCTGTCCTCAGCCGGACTTATCCGGAAGCAGCAGGAAGCGGCAGCTGCCTCATTGCTGCTCTGCTGCAGGTACGGTACTGCTGCTGCTGCTGCTGCTGCTGCTGCTGTGGTCTTTATTCCCGCTGCTTCTGCTGCTGTCGTCGTTTTCCCTGCTGCTGCTGCTGCTGCAGCAGCCCCCACCGGCGCTGCAGTTGCTGCCGCGCGCTTCCGCCTAGTTGCTGCTGCTGGTGTTTCTGCTGCTGCTGCTGCTCCCGCCTCCCCTCTTGCTGCAATTGCTGCTGCTGCTGCTGCTGCTGCTCCCGCCGCCCCTCTTGCTGCAGTTGCTGCTGCTGCTGCTGCTGCTGCTGCAGGGCCCCCATTTGTTTACTTTTAATTTGGGCGACTGCGGCGCCGCTTTTATTTCTTTTGACATTCGAGCTGCTGCAGCTCGCAACCTCAGCAGCAAACAGAAGAACCGCCCTGCTGCTGCTGCTGCTGCTGCTGCTCCTGCTGCTGCTGCGGAGTCTGCAGCAACGCCTGCAGCCCACAGCGCTGCTGCTGCTGCTGCTGCTGCTGCTGCTGCGCCTCTGGGGGGCGCTGCGTCGGAGGGCGACTTGCAGCGGATCCAGGAGCAGCAGCAGCACGAGCAGCAGCAGCAGCAGCAGGAAGAGACTGCAGCAGCAGCAGCAGCAGCAGGAACAATAGGGGTTTGGGACTACAGAGAATTCGCCTTTAAGCCTCTAGCAGGCGGGCAAAGCAACCCGGGAGCAGCAGGAACACTTTCGGATTTGCTGCTGCAGCAGCAGCAGCCTCCAGCAGCAGAGTGCCCCTGCAACATCAGCAGCAGCAGCAGCAGCAGCAGGAACCCGCTGGGGAAGTTGGGGTGTTGCTGCAGCAGCAGCAGCATCAGCAACAGCAGCACAATGCCGGTCAGCCGCTCCGCGCCTGCGCTGCAGCAGCAGCAGCAGCAGCAACTGCTGCTGCAGCAGCAGCAGCGCCGCAACAACCACGGCAGCCGCAGCAGCAGCAGCAGCAACCTGAAGCGGGAGCACTCCTTCTTTGGCCTAGACGCCTTAGAAACAGCAGCGCCCCCCAGCCGCTGGCTGCAAGCCCCCTCGCAGCAGCAGCAGCAGCAGCAGCAGCAGCCGCAGCAGCAGCAGCAGCAGCTGCTGCTGCAGCCGCAGCAGCAGCAGCAGCAGGTGCCGCGGCTGGGGCTTGCTGCTGCTGGGGGCCGCGGGAGCGCCTCCGAGCTGCTGTCGGGGATCAGCAGCAGCAGCAGCATCAGCAGCATCCACAGCAGCAGCAGACTTTCGCTGCGGCTGATTCCGAGCTGCAGCAAACTGTCTCATTCCGACAGCACTTCTTCTGTGGGGACTTACAGCAGCAGCAGCAGCAGCAGCAGCTGCTGCAGCGGCAGCAGCATCAACTTCCAGTGGCTCTCCAGGCAGCTGCGCTGCGGCTGCCCCTCCGAAGACAAACGCATCCGTGCTCTCGGGGTAAGTCCTGCTGCTGCTGCTGCTGCTGCTGCTGCTGCTGCTGCTGCTGCTGCTGCTGCTGCTGCTGCTGCTGCTGCTTCTGCTGCTGCTGCTGCTGCTGCTGCTGCTGCTGCTGCTGCTGCTGCTGCTGCTGCTGCTGCTGCTGCTGCTGTTCTGTGCATCTGCTGGGTTTGCTTCTCCCCTTCACGGAGCTTCTGCTGCTTCGTCCTCCCCGCAGCTGCTGCTGCTGCGCCTTCCCGTGCTGCTGCGGCTGCCGTGCCCCCCGCTGCTGCTGCTGCACCTGCTGCTGCTGCTGCTGCTGCTGCTGCTGCTGCTGCAGGTGAGCATTGTGGGGAACAAGATGGCGGGGCAGCTGGAGCCCACGAGGTCCATTGGAGACTTTGATGTTAAAGATCGTTTGCCTCCTCGAGCTTTGTCAATAGAACCTGAGATTGGAATTTATTCCATTTCTTCGCTCTTTGCTGCTGCTGCTGCTCCTGCTGCTGCTGCTGCTGCTCCTGCTGCTGCTGCTGCGGGGCCTGCAGCCGCGGCGGGTGCCGCAGCAGGCGCTGCTGCTGCAGCTCCTCCCGGCGCCGCTGCAGCGGGAGCCCCTGCAGCAGCAGCAGCAGCAGCGCCTGCTGCAGCAGCAGCAGCAGCAGCAGCAGCAGCGCCTGCGGGCTCTCCCAACTGCGGGCTGCTGCTGCTGGCCACTGACGGAGTTTGGGATTTTGTGCAGCCGCAAGAAATATTAAAATGTCTGCAGCAAATAAAACCCTTGTGGCGGGCGCTGGAGGCAGCAGCAAAGCGGGAGACGGAGCTGCTGCTGCAGCAGCAAAAGGCGCAGCAGCAGCAGCAGCTCGTCATGCAGCAGCAGCAGCAGCAGCTCCTGATGCAGCAGCAGCAGCAGCAGCAGCAGCAGCAGCAGCAGCCGCAGCTGCAGCAGCTGCCAGCAGCAAGCATTGGACGCAGAGTCGCGAGTGCTGGAGACTTCACTTCATTCCTTCGCTCCTCGCTGGGCAGCAGCAGCAGCAACAACAGGCTGCTGCAGCCTCCCCCGCAGCAGCAGCAGCAGCAGCAGCAAGCGCAGCAGCAGCAGGCGCAGCAGCCGCCAGTGCTGCAGCAGCAGCAGCAGCCAGTGCAGCAGCAGCAGCAGCAGCAGCAGCAGCAATCCATTCCTTCTGGACTGAAACGCATTACGAGCTGGAGGCGGCTGCTGCCGTCGCAGAGCCACGGGTCGCAGCTGAGCAGCAGCAGCAGCAGCAGCAACCTGAGCAGCAGCAGCCCGAGCGCAGCAGCAGCAACACTGACACAGCTCTGCAGCACAATTGTTAAAAAAGCAAGAAAGAATGGATCAACAGATGACTGCAGCTGCATTGCTGCTTTTATTTATGCTGTGGGGAGCGAGGAAGCAGCAGCAGCAACAGCAGCAGCAACAGCAGCAGCAGCAAACGCTGCGGCTGCGGAGGTGACTGCTGCGGCCGCAGCAGCAAACGCTGCAGCAGCAGCAGCAGCAGCAGCAAGGCCCGGAAGAGCTCGCGGGGATAATGAGCCCCTCTGGCAGCCAGAAGAGGCGTGACAAGTGCAGCAGCAAAATTAATTAATTTAATTATTTATTTCTTTTAATTATTTATTTCTTTTAATTATTTATTCATTTAATTATTTTGACATTCAAATCCAACTTGTGCTTCAATGCAACCAGGTAAAAGGACAAAACAACACAAACAGCTTTTGCTGCTGCTGCAGCAGAAGCTGCTTCTGCTGCTGCTGCAGCAGCAGCAGCTGCTGCTGCAGCAGCAGCAGCAGCTGCAGCAGCAGCAGCAGCAGCAGCACACAGCGCCCACGCAACGCAGCTGCTGCAGCGGCTGCAGCCATTTAAAAAAACTAAAGTTAGAAAAAAACTCATTCTTTAAATGCTGCTAGGCGGAGCTGCTTGCTGCTGCCTGCCCTGCACACTGCAGCAGCAGCAGCAGCTGCTGCTGCTGCTGTCTTGTGTGCTGCTGCTGCTGCTTGCTTCTGCTGCTGCTGGGCCCTCACACTGCTACTTTCGCATTTGCCAGGGGCTGTTCTGCGGCCTCGCCGGCGAACGGGAACTGTTGTGGAGTTAATTGTTTGAGTTATTTGGTCGAATTTGAATTAAATTGGAATTAAATTGGAATTAAATTAGAATTAAATTGGAATTAAAAGTGCAAATTAATTAAATAAAGCAAAAAGAGGGGAAAACGGGGCCAGGAAACCCCGGTGGAAGCCCTGGGCAGCGGCGGCGGAAGGACCCCGCGTGTGATGCGGGGAGAAGTTGGCGGGAATTTGAATTCAAACTGCATTTATAAATAAATAAAAGCATTTAAAAAGGGAAAATAAACTCAAAAAGTGGAGAAAATAAAACAACCCCACCGAATTTGGCCCCGAACTGGAAGCCCCTCTGTGGCTCCCGCAGCTCGGAGCCGGGCGGCGACGGGGCTTCCAGGGCTAAGTTGGGGTCTTTTGGGGTTTAATTAATTTAATTTAATTCATTTAATTCATTTAATTCGTTGTTTCCGTCTTGCTTCTTTAGTTTTTTCCTTTTCCGCGTCGAAGGATCCAAAGATCTTCTTCCCGCCGCTGGTGCGCGCCCAGGTGTACATACACCTCAACTGCAACGCAGCTTCTGCATGCTGCTCACAAATATTTTTCCTTCACTTTTATTTCCGCACAAGTTTCAGGGGAGCAGCGAAGCAGCAGCAGGCCGCAGCACCTGCAGCAGCAGCAGCAGCAGCGGAAGGCATCCAGGGTGCATCGCAGCAGCTGCTGCTGCTGCTGCAGCTGCTTCTCCGTTTCACCTGCACCTGCAAGTGAAACAAACCCTAAACCCTAAACCCTAAACCCTAGCAGCAGCCCCGCCTCCGTCCGAAGCCAAGAACTGCTGCAGCCCCGGCGCCCACGCAGGGCCTAGGCTTCAGGGTTTAGGGCTTAGGAATTAGGGTTTAGGGTTTAGGGTTTTGGACTCACTTGTGGGGACTAGGGCGAAAGCCAGCAACTGGGCGGCGCTGCAGCGGCGCGCGGCGTCAGCAGTAGCAGCAGCAACAACAGCAGCAGCAGCAGCAGCAGCTGCAGCAGCAGCAGCAGCAAAAACGTTTCTTGAGAGACCCGAGACAGCAGCAGCAGAGAGTTCAAGGCAGCCGGGCTGGTTGTTGTGCCCGGCTTTACCCCGTGGAGCGACACACATTCCAGCAGCAGCAGCAGCAGCAGCAACAGCAGCAGCAGCAGCAACAGCAACAGCAGCAACAGCAGCAGCAGCAGCAGCAGCAGCTGCAGCAGAGGCACAATGGAGCGCTACAAGAAGCTGGACAAAATAGGGGAAGGGACTTACGGAGTGGTTTATAAAGCCCAAGACACAAATGGAAATCTTTGCGCCTTAAAGAAGATTCGCCTCGAGGCCGAGGACGAGGGCATTCCCTCCACAGGTAACCCAAACCCTAAACCCTAAACCCTAAACCCTAAACCCTAATTCTGGGCTCTCTGGAGCGCTGAGCTCTCTCTTCGGAGCGAGTGTGCGGCTGCTGACCGTTTAAAGAACAGCGGAAACTGCCAACGAGCGCTGCAGTTTCCAACTGCGAACAAAAAGAGTTCTTTATTCATCTTTTTGAATTTAAAGTTTGTCAACTTCAATTCAAAAGATGAATAAATTTCCTTTGCTGCAAAAAATGCAAAAATGAGCCGCCAATGCAGAAGATCCCGCGGGGAAAGAGGGCCTGGGGTGTGCGCGGGTAGTGGGCGATCTCCGGGTTTTGTGGGTGAAAAAAGGAGAATAATGGCTCAAATTGGAGGAAAAGAATCAAAATAATTAATTAATTTCGTTTGTTGTGAAGATCGCGTTTCGTTTTTGCATTTGGTGTCGAGTTTCCGCAGCTTTCCGTTTTTCGGTTTCGGGTGTATAGGCAGGTGGTCGTGTGCGTTTTTGCAAGTTCAGGAAACCCTCGTTCAGTTTATTTCTTTTCCTCCCCGTAGTTTCGTTTATTTTATTTCCGCTTTTATTTTTATTTTATTTAATTCATTTCAGCAATTCGCGAAATTTCTCTTCTCAAAGAACTCCACCACCCCAATATTGTCCGCCTGATGGACGTAGTGCACACTGACAAGCGCTTGACTCTGGTTTTTGAATATTTGGACCAGGACTTGAAAGAAGTTCTAGACGACTGCCGACGTGAGTTTTTCTTTTATTTTTATTTCGAAATGTTTCTTTTTAAAGATCTCGGGGAGTTTCGAAGAAAGAAGAGTCATGCAAGTGCTCCGGGGTTGTTTTGCAGAAACTGACGCGCGGCGCTGCTGCTGCCACAGACCCCGATTTAGGGTTTAGGGTTTAGGGTTTAGGGTTTGTATTTGCAGCTTCGGGCCTGGAGCCGCAAGTTGTTAAGTCTTTTCTTTATCAGCTTCTTAAAGGCATTGCCTACTGCCACCAGCACAGGTGTTGAATGCCCTAAACCCTAAACCCTAAACCCTGAACAAAGCCGAAAGGCGGCGCTGCCCTGTCTCAGCCAGCGCCTAGGGTTTAGGGTTTAGGGTTTAGGGTTTAGGGTTTGCATTATTGTTTGCCGCAGAGTTCTGCACCGCGACTTGAAACCTCAAAACCTCCTCATAAGCAGAGACGGAACCTTGAAGCTCGCAGACTTCGGTCTTGCAAGGTAGGGTTTAGGGTTTAGGGTTTAGGGTTTGTTGGAATTGATT